AACCATTTTTTAAATAGTCTATAGTAATATTATTTAGAATATTCTTGTCGTGGCCATTTTCAACAAAGATGTCTGTTAGAAAATCAATTTCTTTTTGAAGGTGTTTTTGAGAGCATATTCTTTTAGCTTGACATAAAAATCCTTTGAAAACGCCAATAATAATGTTAGGATTAATGTTCGAGTTAGGTTTAAGTTGAACATTTGTAATAGCTTCTTTTCTATGTACTTGAAATTCATAAGTTCCAGAGCCTGAGTTTGTAATGTTAATATTTTAGAAATTGAGTTGTTTAAGGTCGTTTTCAAGTTCCACTGTGTATTTTATGGCAGGATGCTGTTCATTAAGGATGTTCAGGAACATTTGTTGTTGTTTTATTGAAGCAAAGCGAGCATGACAATCATCTACATTTCTCTTGTAAGTGTTTGGTTCGGATGTATGAATAAGTGCTATGTTAAGGGCTTTTCTTTCTATATTTTGTAAAAACGCTTCCACCAAAACAACCATTAAAGATAAACCTATAGGACCTGAATTAGGTATTATTCGGATATTGTTTTATACTTAATGAAAGTTCAATTAGTTGATGTATGTCTGCAAGAGTAAGTTTAGTTCAAGTTTTTAAGTCATCAATGTCAGCGTTCAATATATCAATAATAACCGGAATTGCTTCGTCAATGGGTATGGATGCATATAAATTGACTATATCAAATAAAACTTGAATTTCGTTAGGATCTATTATCCATTGCTTAGCTTCATTTACAAAACTATTAGATTTCATAAGTCTAATTTTATTTTTGTTCAGAGTCAAGATAATAAGATGTTCCATAAGGTGGTGTGTTAATTGTTGATACAACAGGGCGCATTGGGTAATCTTTTTCTGGTTTGTGAGCTTTAATCATTCCGTTAATCCTTGGTGGGTTACAATCTGATGAATACATTTTAAAGTATGTATTTGTGTCTAGTTTACCTTCTTTTCTTAATTTGCACAATTGTCTTTAAAATTTTGTAGTCAATGTGTATGTTGGATCATAATCAATAATTTTGCTATTTTTTATTTGTTCTTCTAATTTGAGAGATGCATCTTTTTGGTTTAATAATGCGAAACCTGTGCCTTTATTGAAAGGGTGTATCTTAATGTTAGAATTGTTTTTTAATTTGTTTATGGAAAGACGTTGTTGCTTAGTTAAATTATCTTTTAATCTTAATTTTAGCGAATTTGTTAAAATGTGTGAACAGTTTTGTCGTAGAGTTTATGCCTGTGTTGGTTTTTTAAGTTTTTCAAGTTGTAAAGCGCAAGTTTCGATATTAGTTATAATATCCATATATGGAATTTTTTTCGGGAGTGGTACAAAATTTGGACCTAAATTGAGTAGCTCAGTTGTTGATTTATCCAGAGTAACATTAGTTAAATTGAGTATAGCAGGTTTAATAACTTGATTGGGAGGATTAAAAGTATTTTTTATAATTGGTGTAATTTGTAATTTATGATATTTTTCTTTCATTTCTATTTTTTTCTTGATGTAATGGTAGTTTTTTGATTTGTTGGTTGTACTATTAATTAATTAATAATTGTGTAATCTTACTTTTGTCTGAAGAAATATATTTAATTCATTAATTAATTTCTTACTTGAATATAATCTGTGTTTGGCTTCGTTACGAGCATGAATTAGTAGTTTTTTACTGTATTCCTTCATTATGTTTTTTGCTTTTTTAGTATGAATTGGAGTTTTTTTTTTAAACAATTTTGAAGTTGTGTTATTGGATAAGCTACATTCTAAAACATGCCATGGTAAGTTTGATTGATTGCACCCCAAAACATTATCTGTAGCCCCAGAATATCGAACTCGGAAAATCAGAGAGTCACTCAAAATAAGCAGGGCTAGGGTTCAACAGGAGTTGAGAAATGGTGACGTGGTTCTCGATCAGGATGACGGTGATAACGTAACAACCAAAATCTGGGGGCCATTTTTTAATAAAATTTGCTGACATCAGTTATTTGAATAGTTTTTTTCTGTATTATATTTTGGCTTTTTAATATATATATATATATATATATATATATATATATATATATATATATATATATATATATATATATATATATATATATATATATATATATATATATATACATATATATACATACATAAATACATACATACATACATACATATAGGCCTTGTTTTAAATAAAAAATGCCTAATGCATTACCTTAACACAGTATTTGACGTCATAAATGTCTTTTTATTTTTTTTAAACATTTTTAAATTACTACAATAATATTAATTACCTCAAAACGAGTTAAATGTTATTTATTTGCTTTTTTATTATTACTAAAAGTGAATGATTATTTTCTTTTATTTATTTTAATATTCAATATATAAATTTAATATTGCATTTTTGAAAATGTTTGATAATAAAAAGTTTCTTTCTTTTCTCAACATTCGTATAAATAATTAAAATATGTTTAATTTTGGAATTTTTAAAATGATTATTTCTTAAATTTCTATTTGGAATTTTGCAACTACAATAGCTTTTTTGTTTTAAAAAAATTAGCAAGTAACAAATTAAAAAATTATGTTAATTTATTAATTTTATATATTAAAAATGTATTAGTTTATTATTTTATTATTAAAATTGCGAATCGTTCATTTATTAAAAAATAATCACTGTGATTTAACTTGCTTTATAAAATAAAAAGTTTGTTACGTTTTGTGCAAACTTTTTATGCAGCCATTATGTGATCAGGAAAAACTATAAAAAAGGTTTTTTTTTAATTGATAGCCTAAACCAAAATCTCAATCGCAACATTTCTTGCATGTTCTACCTGTTAGTCAGTCAATGTAGTTTGCACTCCTTAATGTTTTGCCCAGGCTGGAGCCGAAAGTTTTTTTTACTTGGCTCCAGCTTCTAAGCCAGAGTCGAGCTCCATCCTTTCCAGCTTGGCTCTAGAACTTAGACTTTTTTTTTTTTTCTCCTACCTAAATCCAAATCCATGACAACAATTAATTTTTTAATCAACTTTCTTGTTTATAAGGTATAATGTTATTATCAATATCCTACTACAACATAATACATTTGAAAAAAAAAATGCTTTGGATAAATATACATTTCTATATATTATTAGAGTTTCTAGTTCTAATTCTCGTTTTAATTCAACCCAATAGGCATGGAACCTTAAAAAATAAAAAAATAAAGAGAATTTTATGATGTCAAATATCGCGTTAAGCTGATGCATTAAGCATTTTTTATTTAAAACAAGGCCTGATATTTATGTGTGCGTGTGTGTGTGTGTGTGTGTGTGTGTGTGTGTGTGCGTGTGTGTGTGTGTGTGTGTGTGTGTGTATATACAAAATTTTATGAGCATTTTTTTTTTTTTTAAAACAAAAGTATAACTTTTTATAATTAATATATAAATAAAGTAATACTTTATTAAATAAGTAATACATTTAAATAAAGTGACAAATCACTTCTAATGATTTTTTATAAATACATTAATGAGTAACCCTCGGAATTAGGAATAATGAGGTCAGCTTACCATAAATCATAGAAGCAAGGTCAGCAATTTTTTGCCGACCTCAAACACTTTTAGGTTAGTCATTGGGTCGGCATTGCTGAATGCAGATTCTAATTCCAAGGGTTGAATGAGTAGTATATATTTTTTTATATATAAGTATTTTTATTTTTTATTATAAATGTTTTAAAATAAAATAAAGTTACATTGATTTTTTAAATTAACGATTTAATTATTTATTTCTTTTGTACAAAGAATTGTTAAAAATATCTTTTTAAACTTTTAAATGGGCGCATTTATTAAACAATTGTCATTTGTTAGTAAGTTGTTACTTTATTTAAAAAAGGTTAAATAAAAAAAGGTTAAGTAAAGATAAACGTTTAAATAAAAACAGTAAAGATAAATATTAGTAAAGATAAACGATTTAAAGTTATTTATTTCAAACGTAATTTAGATCTTAATGTTATAGTTTATTAACGTAATTTATATATCTTATTGTTATAGCTTATTTATTTCATTTAAGTTTTAATTTTATTTTTGCTATTTTGATTTTAATTAAATTAATTTAATTTTATTTTTCGTTATTTATTTTACAAATGTTTATTTGCTTTTTTAACAATTATTTTTTTTTAAGTTTTTTTATAGTTAATTTAAGATTTGATTAATTTTTTTTAAATTATATATAAATTTTCATATATAAATTGTATATAAATTTTCAAAACATTTTAACAGCCGTGGTCAAGTTCAGTAAAATCAAATAGTATCTGCGTGGTCTTATTATGACGTGAAATCGCACGCCTTCCTGGCCAAGCCTGAACTATCTGAAAAAATGTATCCTTCTTTAATGTCCTTTAAAAATACATTCAAACTATAAATAAGCCTAAGTGGTCCATTATTGTGGGGTAACTGTATCATTTTTTTTACAAATCTACATTTTCTCTAATTCTTTTATTTTTAAATGATTTTTAAATTTCAGTTAATTAGAATAAATCATAGTTGTTGTTGATTTTTTAAATAAATAATTTTTATTAAATAAATTATTTGTATATTGTATATTAGATAAAATTGTATATTAAATATTCAAATATTCAAATATTAAAATTGTATATTAAATAAAGTAAAATTGTTTGTATATAAAAAAAAAATGTTTGTATTTTGTATATTAAAAAAAATGTTTGTATTTTGGTTATTTGTTTGCAAACATATGTTTTCATCATCAGATTTAATTATAAAGTTCATTCAATATGAAAAGAATTAGTTAAAATTTCTGATTTTTATTTATAAAGCTAAATTAAAAGTGGATATTGTCTGAGTATGTTACAAATATCTTTAATAAATGTTTTTTTGTTATTATTGTAGGAATTATTATAAGCTTTTGCAAGCAAATTTAAATACTTTTAAATAATTTTTATTTATAAAGTTTAATTATAAGTGGATATTGTCGGAGTATGTAACATATGTTTAATAAATGTTTTTTTATTATTATTATAGGAATCAATGAAAATGATGGGTCTCCGGAATTGGATTCACTGGCTAGCTTGGTTTACTAAATGTTTTGTTTTTCTCCTTATTCCTATGATTCTCATTTCCATTGTAATGTGTGTTGATTTTGGAGGTGGGAAAATGCTTACCAAGTCAAATGGTGTAATCATTTTTATATTCCTAATGATGTACTCAATATCCTCAATAATGTTTTGCTTTTTTGTTTCCACTTTATTTTCAAAAGCAAATACTGCTGCAGCAGCTGGGGGTATTTTATGGTTTCTTTTATATGTTCCATATTGGTTTCTTTTTCAATCTTATGATACTATTTCAACAAAAACAAAAATTTTTTCCTGTGTTGATTTTCAATTAGCAATGGCTTTAGGCTCAAATCTAATTGGTCAGTTTGAAGGTCAAGAAAGTGGATTGCAATGGTATAATATAAATAAAGGAGTTACTATTGATACTACATTTACTTTTTTACAAGTTTTACTGATGTTTTTAGTAGACATTGTATTATATGGATTATTGACATGGTATATAGAGGCTGTGTTTCCTGGAGAGTATGGAATACCACAAAAATGGAATTTTTTTCTTACTAAAAGCTATTGGTTTGGATATCAATTTGAT